ACCGTCCAATGTTGTTCTAATTCGGCAAGTCGCTGTCGCATTTCCTTAAGTGATAGGGATGCTTCAGCTTCACGCATTTTTACTGAAATTAATTCCTCCTGCAAACCGGCAATACCATTATCCGGTGGACGTTCACGTAACCTTTTGTTTGCTAATTCTAACTCCTATAAACATTAAAGTAGTTATTGCTAATAATTGTATACATTAATAATATTTTCTGCAACAAAAATATTTGGAAAATGGTTAGAGTAATTTTTCGAATTAATCTTATATGTAATTAATTGTAAAATAGTAAAAGATGAAAGATATCATACACTAAATATCATCAAATTTTACCTGTATTCGGACTTTCAAATCTTTGATTATAATTTCATTATCTGCTTCACGTGCACGTGTATCAATAATTTCTTGTTGTAATGTGTGAATATGCTCAATCATTGACGTATCATCCACTTGCGTAGCACATTCTGTTAATTCTTCATTCTTCTGTAAAATAAAATATTAACTTAATATTAATTGAACCGAATGTGTTCAATGTTTTAATTTACAATAAAATTTTAAAGGTGTGCAAATTTTTACATTTTTCATATGATTTTATAATATATTTCCGAGAATTTCTAATAAAAAAAAAAAATAATATGTAAATAATCGTTAATTTATACTAACTAAACCTTCAAAATGATCTTTCATATTCTCTCGTTATCATTGCTTAAGTGTTATGCTAACAAATATCTTACAATTTTGCATGATAATGTTTAATACTGAACTTATGATGTCTATTTTAACTGATGCAATTACTACTATTACTAATACCGCATAATTATCATATATTATTACTATTATCATTGCTATTATCATTAACATTATCATTAATTTTTGTTGCTAATTGCTATTAATTTATTTATTACTTATTGTTAGTACTTATTATCGTTATTTATTATTACTATAAATTATTGTTAATCATATAATTACAACTGTGATCAAGTTATTATTATCATTATCATTATCATCATCATTTTTCTGCCGTTACTTGCTAAATAGCATGAAAGATCACGAAAGATCAAGAAAGGTCAAGCTTTGGAGAATTTTGTAAATCATTGATATTTTTGGAGAATATTTTTAGAGTAGGACCGATTAAAAAAAAAATTTAAAAATAGCATCATTGGAAAGAAGCTGTCATACAATTAAATTGATGGCCTGTTTCAAATGCACATATAAAAGAATGAAATAATCCATTTTAATACTCTTCGTAATACTGCCAAGACAGAATAAACGATTCATTTGTGATTAAGAATGATAAATGATGTGGGAAAAATGATAAGTGATATGTGCAAAGAGAAAAATGAGAAAGAAAAAGAAGAAAAAGACTACCCTAAATTTTCAAATAATCTATTTTAATGGTTATTTATATTCCTTTAAGAATTTGCTTTCACTTCATTTATATGACATATAAACAAAAAAAAGAGAAAGAAGGAGAAGGAGGGAGAGAAAGAGAGAGATCATTTTATCAAAAAAGAAAAAGGAAAAAAATTTTAATTTTAATACAATAAACACGTATCAAGAATTGGAAAAAACAAAAAAAAAATTTTTATTTTTGTTATTTTTAAGGAGTGTAATCATGAAAATTTCTTAATTTCAATTTTTTACCAATACTACATATTATTTAAGCACATTTATGAATTTGTTTTTCAAATGATTCAAATTAATAATGTTGTAGTAATTTTTGGGTAATTAAAATTAAAATAATAAACGAACTTTGCAACTTAAATCACGAATCGTATCATAGGCTTCTTCCAGTCGTCGATGAGCGTCTGAATTGATATCACGAAGTTTCAATAGCTCATGTGATATGCTCATGCAATTTTCCGCTTCTTGCGCTAAATTTACCTGACCTTTTATTAATCGATCAGCTAATGCTGAACTTTCTTGTTCCAAATAATCAATTCGCTGTCTCAGTAAACGATTTTCGGTTCGTAATCTCTGAAAATTTCAATTTCTTCTTCATTCATTCAAAAAAATAACAAATTGTAACAAAAGATTTAAATTTTATTTTAAATATGTACCGCTATTCTTTCCTTTACATCTTTTCTATTTTTTTTTTTAATTTATGCATTTTATCCTATCCATTATAATTTTTTCTCATTGCTTCACTTTCACAGACAATTTTTCTTTCATTCACTTTAATACATTCCAAATTTTACAAATAAAAAACAAAAGACATCATTCGATCCATTTTAGGATACATTTGGGAGCTGTTCAAATTCAAAATAATTCTAGACTTTCAATAATTTTGAGATAAATTTATGTCTTTTTTAAAATGACAGAATGAATGACTTTGAAGTTCATTTATTTGTTTGTAATTTTAATAGATAAAAAAAATAAATAAATGGAAAAATTAAATGAAGAAAATTTTAGGAAAGACTAAAAAAAATTTTTGCATTATTACTCTGCGAATAATAAATAAATATCAATCACAATTTGGTAAATAAAATGGTAAATAAATATCAATCACAAATTTGATAATATATATTTATTTTTTTTGCATTTATCTTTATTCTTTGTATATTGTATATTTAGTAGTGAAAATGTAAAGAAAGATAACTTTCACTTCATATCTTGCGAAGTAAATTTATGTGATAAGAAAAAGTGAGTAAAAAACAACAAGAAATTATGTGTGGTTAAGTAATGATTAAGTTAACAAATAGATAGGCCAATAAAGAAATTTCTCAAATATAGGTGATATAGCAGGGAAAAAGCTATATTTACTAGTTATTGAAATAATTGCCCATATGAATTACAAAAATTGCTTTCTGTCCTATTTCATTAATTATTTCATTGTTATCGTACAAAACATTAAAAAATGTCAAACATCAAATATATGAAATATTTCTGGAAAAATTTCAAATAAATTAAGAAAACACTATTGAATAGCTGCAATAAATTGCCATTAGAATATGCTATCAGTCACTGCCATCTTATAAATGCTTCAAATTAGTGCTTTAAGCCTTATCAAATATCGAAATATCGTCTTAGCATTTAAATTTCTAAATGATGCAATTTATATTTCCATTTCATTTTATCCCCTCTCAATATAATAGATTAGTTTATTATGGTACCAACAAATTTTGGCATTACAAAAATGATCAAATATTTCAGAGCAACTCTCTTTCATTCATTCCTCTTTTTCTTTTCTGGAATTATTATAGATAAAAAGTAATTGATAGCGCAAAAAAGGATAAATGAAGTGATTTGTAAGTTAAATTGATTATTATTTTCATAGTGGCAATTAATTTGTCTGAAAATGTCAAAAAGAAGAAAAGAAATAAAAACAGAAAGTTTTATTCATTCATAATTTATTAATTAAAAACAAATTCCAATTTCAATTTTGCAATCGAAATAATCATTAGAGCTTTCAGTTCAGTCAGACAAATGAAATTTTTTTTTTTACAAGAAATTAAACATTAAAATGGAATAGAACACAAAACAAGCAAACTCAAATTCATAAATTTACGGATAAAAGATTTTTAACTGTAAATTTAAGTGCATTTTGATAATATTAAATTGTTAATTTGCACGAACAGCTAAAATTCTTTTTTTTTTCTACATGCGTTCCGAAATTTTTTTAATTTATTAAAGATTTTTTTTTTTTAATAGAATTTAATTCAATATTTTTAGTGAATGAAAAAAATATTTCAATCACTTCCAAGCAAATATTTTTGCATTTATTGAAATGAAAAAAAAAAAAAAAAACGTATCCCTCAGTAATAGGAAAGTATGGGAAATTAGGAGAAGTAAGATTGAGAAGTTTTTCATTGCAACTATTTCTGTATGGTTGTGATATTTCTCCATCGAAATTAAATTATTCAATTATGAAAAAAAAAAATTATGAAATTGAATTGTTCAATTCATGAACAATTCAATTTCATACTCAATTCATGATAAAATTTCCATTTCGTATATATTTTAAATTATTTTTAGGCGAAAAGAAGTTAAATGGAAAGAAAGGACACATTAAAATATACTGCAATCGAATTCCGGCATAAAAAATACACATACTGCAACAAAGTCCTAGCAAAAATGTGTACCGTAATCAGGCCCCAGGAGAAAATATTACCATACTATCGAAAAACTTTCCATTAAAAAACATACTGTAATTAAGATTCTGACAAAAAAAAGAATAAGAAAGGAGAAAAAGGAAAATTATAGTGAAATTTTTGGACAAATTTTGCAAACATTTCATTTAAGAAAAAAAAAAAAACGAACCTTTTTCGTCCATTGAAATTTTTGCCATATTTTACGTTTCCGATAAACCATTTTTGATTTTGGTTACTTTTGGTTGATAATTAATAAATGGGAAACGAAGTAACCAGAGAATATTAATTTAAAATAACTATAATAATGCTTTTTTATGTATCGAAAAGAGATAAGTAAGTTTCATTCGACGATATTAAAATTGAATCATTGAAATCGGTTGGCACATTTTGAGAGAAAAAAAAAATTTTTTTCAGAACAAAAAAAAGAAGAAAGGGAAATTTATTAATTCATATATTTATTTATGAAGAGGAATTGTTGCAACTAATATATCATTATTTAAAAATTATAAAATTGCATTTGAGAAAGGATACTTTGATGAGAAACACATATGAATACGACGGAAAAGGATGTAAATTTAAATATTGATATTAGATTTAAATAAATCATACAGATGAAAATAAAGTATCAAAATATGATTAATGTTTTCATTTTTTTTTTTAAATGATTCTTTCAAAATTCATCCATTTTTTGTGCTCCATCGATTTTATTTTATTTCGAATATAAATAATTCATCTTTCAATTTATTAACGTTTTTTACAGGAAATTTTCAAGGTGAAATTTCACCTTCAAATTCAATTTGAAAGACCGAGTAAACTGAGCAGGTGAAAATGACGAGGAAAATGCATAATCATTTTAATTTTCATAGAAACTGTAATATTTAAAATTTCCAAAAAAATTCTATTTGATTAAAGAGAAAAGCAAAATATATTCAAAAAATGCTATATTTATCGTTGATAATTATATGCTAATTCACTGAAAGAGTTAGCTATCATTAATAGTTTAATGCTTCGTTAAAATAATTTTTTCAAAATGTTATTTCTCTTTTTTTGAATAAATAAATTAACACATATGAAAACTGTAGTAATTGATTTAAAAGTGGATAATATTGCATATCAAATAAAATTTTGAAAAAAATTATTGATTTAAAAATGAATAATATTGCATATAAATTGCTTTGGTAAAATTTTTATTTTTTCTAGTTTGAGACAAAATTTATGAATCACTGAAAGTGACGATTTCATCATAAACTTTTCTCTTCTCATGTAAAATGATAGCAAAAAAAAAATCAAAGTGAATTGAACTGAACTCATTTTAATTTAATTTAATTGCAAATATTACAAGTAATATCAACCAGTAATCTCTCCAGATGATTCCTATTTCTTACCTATTATCACTTCATTTAATAAAACATAATTAACA